GTGTTCGAATTCATTTTATAGTAAAGATCCAAAATAAGTAACTCTAAAGAACAGGCAGTACCCGAGTTACAAACATCTGACATACGACTCCAGATTACAAACGGGGGCCCTTACTGTACAGCAGGAATAGTTGTAATGCCACCGCACTGGTACAGACGAGGGGTGCCCCCCTTTTTGGGTCTAGTTCATAGTAATGTATGTACATTACAGGAAGTTGGCTCTTGTTAGACATGCAGAAAAGCAGTGCCCACCTCTTCTTCTGGGTCACTGGGAGGTTTTAACTGCTGTCTGTATACTCATTAGAAAGATTTAATCTCACTTCCTGTCCTTGAGACAACAGGAAGTGAGAAATCTACCCCAGGAAGGGAAATCCCCTCCTGTAAGAGTTATCAAGGGAAAAAGGTCTCCACTGAAGCTTTATCACCAATCCTTGTTTCCATGACAACCCAAAATTGGCAAAATCCAAATGTCACGGACAGAAAGCGAGGTGAAATCTTCTGAGCAGGGGCACACCCAGCAAAACAAACTTAACAGGGGGTTAACCCTTCCCTACACTTTACTGTTCCAACTTGCATACAAATTCAACTTAAGAACAAACCTACAGTGCCTATCTTGTTCGTAGCCCGGGGACTGCCTGTGTATATTTTGTCCTGGGTACAAATTGTAAAAGAACGTCTGCAGTTGGAGTACCTTTGATACAAATAATATAACCAAAATGTGCATATATAGGTAACAATGTCATTCAACAAAAACTGAACAAGGTTTATTAGCTACAAAATTTCTTGTGAAGCTTACAAAACACCATGGTATTAAGCCCTCGTTCACACCTGAACGTGTTGTAGAGCGTTCTACGCTCGGCGAACGCTCTACAAAACGCTCAAAAATATAAATCCCATTGTATTCAATGGTCTCGTTCCCACCTTGGCGTATTTCCGCCCGTCCCTAACGCGCTACAAAACGGCCCACGCCTGAAAAGGTACAGGTTCTACTTTGGGCCGTTTTGTTGCGCTTTTCCATTGGGATACAGCCAAGTAGCCTTCGGAAACGCACGTTTGTCACGCAACTTTTTTACCGCGTATCGCGGTAAAAAAACGCGCGACAGACACGCATATGCAATACGCATAGGTGTGAACGAGACCTAAGAACACACAGCAGTTTCCTGTGATCATTCTTGTGAAAGCCAATGTCTGTTTGCTGTGAATCCCCAATAACGTATTTGTATTATATTAAAAAAAGCCCAGTTGATAAGAGGCAAATAGCCAAATTCTTTGGGCCAGTGATTAGGTCACTCATATCATAAAATGAATACACACTTAAATGTTACTTCTTTTTTTACCAAACCCCTTTTTTAGAGTTGCACTTCATACACCCCAGTGTATTGTTAACTTATAGTGAAGAAATTACATAGTTGACATAATACAAATGATGAGCCATTCGAGCCCTTCAACATGTTGTATATGTTTCTGTAACTGTCACATAATGGAAAAATATTAAGAAGTACAACATTTAAATTCTATCTTTGTCAGTTATTTTAACCGCTTACAAAATCGGTCTGGTCAACAAGCTCATATCTGTTTTATTTCATCACTTGCTAAAAGGGAACAGATAAGAATTCCTTAAATTTAGTGGGGTTTACTGGGGATCACAACAACCCTGACACCAAAGGCTGCAAGATACTGCTTTACCTACTAGAATGTATGAATATAAACGGATTTGTGCCATCAAATCAACCTCCACATTCTGCACAAACTAGATAAAAATACATACAAAACTCCACTTTTATCTTTTATGCATCCAACTAATTTGTTTGCAAAGCTATACAACCTCCCTATACTCATGTACAGACAGGACGGATGGTTAAAGCATAAAAGGTTAAAGAAGAACTCCTGTCTAATGAGAGAGCAGAATACTGTTTAAAAAGCAAAAATCTATAAGAAACACAACCAAGTCATGTTTTAAATACTTTTGTAGAAGAGCAGCTTACATGCAGTCCACTAACCAGCCACTTCACAAACTGTGTGATGTAGCTTACTAAAAGCATAGAAGAGTCCAAATGCATCATGGAAATCATGTTTTTTACCTTGTTCAAATCCAGTCAGCAGTAACAAAGGAGCTTAAATGTAAACGTTATTTACAATATTATTTATCTACCTGGATGTACGAAGCATGGAGAAACTATGAGGGCATATAGTCACTGTTAAAGGACCTATGTGTTGTAAGCATTTTAAATAAACAGTATTCTGCTTTAATGCTATTAAAAAGAGCATTGTTATGTCTACTACTAACAAGCTTGATTAAGATGTTAAATAATGATCACAGTAAAAAACTAAATGTGGTAAGGTTATAGAGGTTATTAACCAACCTGTAAAGCACAATGCCAACAATTCATTTAATAAACGCACAGAAAATAATGCAATTGTTAATGTTGCCATAAAGCACATCCTGCCAGTTCATTGTTGATATTTTTATTAAAGTTTCAACTTTGAAAATTCAGTTTATAATCTTGTTAAAAAAATTAAAAAAAAAGATCTTGGGAAACTGGCAAAATGGAGACGTTAGTTGTGCCTTAAAACGCGTTCAACAGCAATACTGACATTGCAAGTGAAACTCACCATTCTTGCCATATCGTCTGACATCTATTGCAAGGTTTCCAGTTTCCAGAGCACTGTCCATGGCCTCCCTCCACTGATTATAGTCCATTGAAGAAACCTTGATGCCGTTGACAGATAGAATTTCATCATCTACTTGCAGTTGAGAAAACTCGGCTGGGCTGCCTGAAAAACATAAATGTGCCCCCTTAACTTCAAGCACAATTTATATAGCAAGTTTTAACACGAAATTTAAATAAATCATATTTTTTCTCCTGTATGCATGAGTAAAACCTTACTTAGAACATGTAAACTAAAGTAACCCTTAGAAACCAGTTATCTTGCATTGATCATCATTATTGCTTACTGCACCTCCTTATTAAAGAGACTTAAACAGTACCAAAGAAAAAAACATGTGTATACGGGTTGAAAAAAAGCAAGAGGGTTTGGTATTTCTCTTTAGTTGTAGTTTAATGCGGCTTTGCAGCTACAATAAACAGAAAGGACAATATAAAACTGAAAGCAGATACTCTACCTGCATCAACAGAGGTTACAAAAATGCCAGCACTATTCCAGTTGGTTTTAAACCCAAAGTCGTTGCTGCTTCCAGGCTTCTGGTTGATGCTGATTCTCATGTCGCTGTACTGCTCCTGGAAAAAAAAAAATAAATTTGCACATGCAGTACTTAAATTCAGTGTCTGACCGTGGCAGAAAGGAAAGCCTATCCCGAAGAGAAGTGAGGCTGTACACAGTATACTCTGTAATTATCCCGTCACATGCATGAGAGATGCTCAGGACATGCTTTGTTCTGTCACATTACTCTTCCCTTGGCTGGTTGGCTGCATACTCAGTTTTGATGGTAAACATGAGTAAAGTTCAAAACCAATTCCTCATGAAATCAGCATTTGTTTCCTCTAACAGGGTAGATTTCTATATACAGAGAAAGTAAAACTGGAGTTAGTTGCATCTAACAACCATCACTTAGGATTTGGGTTTAATGCTCCCACAAATTGAAAGATAAAACTTAATTTGATTCCAGCTTTATTTCTACTCCTGTTTCATTGCTCCATTTACACACACTAGTGCCACTCAACAAAAGTAGTCACTGCAAGAACAAAAAATACACCTGATTTTTTTTTTAGCCAAGGCTCCTCCAGAGGTTATGGGTTGCCTGAACAGTGGCAGATTGATCTGTCTGATGGCTATAGAGCCAGCATCTTGGAACTCGACTTCTCTCTTATCTTTACGGTAGGTGGCCGCTGACCACCAGTCTAAGGGGGAACGTGGCCGCTGACCACCATTCTGAGGGAGCACGTGGTCTCTGACTGTCTGTAGTTCTTTCTGGCCATTTTTATTATCCATTTAATGATGGTTGCTGAAAAAAATGTGGCCGTATAGAGAACATTAAAAGATGAATATTGAAAAATGGATTTGTTGAATATCAGTTACTACATATGAGACATTTTTATTTTATTATAGTTACAACTTAATGATACAACTAATCTACCATAAGCTGTAAATAGAATACATTTTAGGGTTCCCTGAGGCCAAATTACTACAAGGATTCCTCCAAGATAAAAAAGGTTGAGCCAGTCTAATATACAGTAACCCGTAGCAACCAATAGTAACAAATTTGTCTCGTAGAGCCATATCTTGTACCAAAAACATAGATTTAGAGCTCTTATAGAAGGACAAAATCAAGATTTTCACTTTTGCACAATGAAACTGCAGATTTGTAGGCTACCTTTGTTGATAGATGGAAGAAAAATGTTGGTTATCATAATGTGAATTAAACCCTGGCTCTGTTTTACAATGTGCATTATGACTAACCAAAAAGCATTCTACCACACCTATTGAGCCATGTCCACTTTACTTTACATCAGGCACAGCACACAGGTTGCATTACCTCCTCCCATTCAATTTTCCATAGAGGCCCTCTTAGAGTTGGAGGTCAAAAGATGTAATTTGTGTGTCCTGTACTAGCCCAACCACTATATGTGCAAATGGTACAATTCTACAACTAGATCTTTCAATAGTATAGGCAGGGAAACACTGGTGTACCGATTCCAAGTACTATATTTGAAATGATTAATATATGATGGAAAGTTTTGTAATTACCAAAGAGCTAGAAGAATTGATGCTAACAGTCTGATACACACTGGTCTTCTCTGGCTTTAAATCAAATGTTTTGGAGGAAATACTTTGTCGCACATCTTTCTTCTCATCTTCTCCCCTATGAGCTTCATCATCTTCACTATGGAACTCACTGCTCGGTTTATCTACTTCTGTCTTGTAATTGGAGGTGAAGGCTGAACCATTATACTTTCGTGCATCATCCAACTAAAATACAAATACACTTCTGTTAGCTGCATGACATGATTTACTTATTTGTTTAACATTTTGTCCATCACCTCCATGACAAGTTATAGCAAAGTTCAAAGAGCGTGCAGATAAATAAGTAGATAAACAGAAATGTATATGGCTTTCTGAGAGGAGAAGAAAAAAAACACACATTTTAAAAAGATTTACAAAATTTTGTTGACATATAAAATTCCAGCCAGGTGGAGGGAGGACAGACCGGCAGCCCAGCAGGGGAAGGGGGCGGGTGGGATAGAGAAGCCAAGGATGCACTGAATTTTTGCCCAAAGTTTTGGTGCATACCTAATGTACACCATAATGCTTCTTGCACCAAAAAACAACCATCTTTTTGGCCATTTAAAAACTCACCTGGTTATACGATATAATAAAATAGAAGCAATACCTTGATTTAACCTTCTAAATTGATACTATAGGCTAATTTTACTGTTTTCATTTAAGGATAAAAGATCATTATTTTAATGTGTGACTAGGGCTGCAGTTTACTTATTTTCATAATCGATTAGTTGGCTGATTTCTTTCGATCAGATGAAATGTAAAACAAATGACTATCAAATATTTAAATAAAATACACAAATGCAGCATTACAGTTTACTGCAAAATAAATTTTGCACATTTTTTGAAATCGCACCACACTAGAACGCAGGGCACTGCAGTACTGTGTGTTGCAGTTCGGGCGATCACACTGCGGACAGGAGGTGCATTTAGGATGCCATTAAAATGAAAGGCACCGCAATGCACCTACTACAGCAAAATTCGTCAGACCGAAACTGAAAATGACTTCTCTTTAAAAGGCATACTAAAACAAATTACAAATATTAAAAAAAAAACACTTACTGTGTAAGATTTAATCAGTGGAGTGATTCCTTTAGATTGGGATCCAAAGGGCCTTGGTGTGACCACAGATGACAGCCGTTTAGTGTCAGTTTTCTGGAAACCCCTTGGCAGAGAAGAATTCATTCCGCTGGGCTTGCTTTCTGTGTTCAGGGAACTGGATGAGAAGGGCTGGCTTTGCACCCTAGTAGTTTCACTGGAGAATGAGTTTTCTGGTTTTACATAACTCTTTGTTGAATATGTAGTGCTACTCTTGTAAGGGGTGTACACATCAACAGACATGGTTTTGCCTAGGGGCTTGATCTCCTTTAGAGAGCTTTGTACAGTGACATTGACATCATGATGAACCTTGGTTTGCGGTGCAGCTTCAACGAGAGAACTGGGTTCATCAGCAAACTGCATTAAATCATCTTCATTCGGTTTATGAGAATTTTGGGTGGCATATAAAGAAATCTCTGAATTCTTTGTGTATGGGATGTCAATGGTGTAACTCTTTTCTAGTGCTGATCTGGATGCTCCAACCGATTCCCCAAAGACATCATCACTTGATGAGTATAGTCTCCTGACCTCTGATTTTTGTTTCTCATTGCTGTAATTGTCATTCCCTCTATTCTCTCTAAAAATAAAGAAAAATTATCATTTCTAACAAGTATTGCTTTAAACATATGTCAGGGAGTGAATAGCAGGCACAGAGAAAATGCGATGCATTGTTAAATGCACTGTTGTGCTAAACAAATGGTAAATGTCACAACATCTATGCACTGCTTCTGCTTAAAATGCAAAATGTGGCCTTTCCAGCAGTCATTCCAAATATTACAAGAGTCTGCATTTCTTTTTTTCTAATTTTAAAATGTTTTTTGTTCCTGTGGCCTTTGACAACCTACTTTGTATAGCGCAGCTTTGGACAATGCACAGATGTTTATCTGTTTGGGATATGTGCACTGTGCTGATTAATATTTATCAGCTCACTTACTTGACCAATACTGAGCAGACATAGCTGTGAGGGTAATCAAGCATTTCATAATTTAGCAATTCTTTCTATAATAATTCTTCCACAAAAACAAAAGATGCCTAAAATTAAAGGGCCAGTTCACAATAGTGTGCTGTTGCAAATTGTACTGCATGTTACCAAAAACACATGGCAAAGTCCACTGCAGAGTGGTGCATTTAGTGCACCAACACAATGCTAGACAGCGCAAATTATACCGCACTACAGCGCACAGTTGTTAACGATCTGTGTGTTTTGCTTTTAAAAAATGTAGTATTCGCTACAAAATGTGTTGTGGCTCATTTTAAATGAATAGGCTTAATGCGGTCCACGTAACCAAGCAATATTGCACTTCCAAAGCAGGTGTTTTAAGGAAACGAAACAGCGTGAAATGGCCCAATAGCAGATTTATTTTTTCTTCAATAGAGTGGGGAAGCGTTAACATCTCTGTTAGATTTTTTTGTACTGTCATTTTAGAGATTTTCCTTCACTTCCAATCCCACTCCTTTAACTTCCTGCCCAGGTATCCGTGAACCAGGAAGGCAAAGACAGAAAAAAAAAATGTTTTTTATTCTTACTTTACTTAAATTATGTTTTTCATTCTGTGTTCCCATCGCTTCAGCTCTGGCAAAGTTAAGGAAAAAAATCCCCGACACAGATGGCAATAAAAACTGTATAGTGGCTCTAACCATGCCCTAGTCAAAGCAAAAATTTGGGGCTGAATATGGGCTTTACCAATGCCCTACACAGGCAAACCTACCTCTCTTCACGCATTTCTTTAAAAGTCTTATAAGTCCTTTCAGGGGGTTCATTTGTAACCTTTTCAATTTCTTCTCTTTCATCTTTCTTCTTTTGAAGATCTGATGTGAAGCTTTTCCTGCGATTTTTCCATTTTGCCAGGTCCTTAGAGAGTTTAGAAAAATGTTATAAAAAATTACAATTTTATGAAATACTTGCACAAAATGGATGAGCGTTTTGTTCGGACATATTGAAGGGTCATGTTTTTTCAAAAGCATTTTATATTCAAGTGTTTTGGCCTGCATGAAGTTTACATTATATGTCAACAGGCATGTCTGGCATGTGGAAAGGAGAACGTGGAATATACGTTTAACCTGCTACCTTAAAATTCCTTCTGATTTTGTCATTCTAAGGTAATCTGCTGTGGTGTTTCCCACTTCCTAAATTTGTGTGATACAAATCCATGTTCATGAATAAGCTATGCTTAAAGCGGACCTCGCATGAAAAGAGCTCACTTGGCCTCATTGCTGCCTCCTGTAATGCTGAAGGTGCTATATCCCAAGACAATGTGCATAAGCACAGTGCAGGAGTCCATTCATGTGGGATTTTTTAATACTCAGTTTTCCTGAGAAGCAGCACTAAGAACCAGTGATGTCGCCAATGCCTACAGGAATGGGTCAGAAGGCAGAGCTTGAGGTAATTAATTGGTTTCCCAATGGTTTTATTTTTCTTTGATTTAATCTTTTCTTTGGGGAGTGGATGGCCCTCAGATAAGCATTCCCTTGCACTTAAGTAAAAAGACAAACTACAAAACTGGCAGTTTAATATTGTAAAGTATATCTAGAGTCAAAACTTATTTTCTTTTGTTTGTGTGTGCTCTATGTCCAAATAGGAAGATTTTATTCACTTCCATCACAGCAAAGTAAGGAAGTGCCCTGAACAATTGTCTCCATTGAAATGAATCTAATACGGCCCCAGTGACCACTCAAAATTTTACATTTTCCCTCACTTTTAATTTTAATTTCAGTGACAAAGGTCACCAGGACAAAAGGAGGGGAAGAATTTTACAAACAGTAATAAAAACGTGGCAGAGGTTGTAAACCTTCCTTCAGTCAAAAAAAATGTTTGGCCTCAGATGCACTTTAATGCCCTGATAAAGTACTGCAACAGCAAAAGGCACAAAGCACTTACAGTTTGCCACTGCTGATCCTGCTCTTGTAACGAGCTCTTTATTTTTTGCATTTCTTCAAAGCGAATTTTTCGCATGTTTTGAAGTTCCTCTGCATTGCAGTTTTCAAAGGATTTATTCCTGTTGGGGTATACACAAATTAGAAAAATAAGATTCATAGTATAAAACAAAAATGAGATCTGTATATCACTGATGACATTACAAATGAACTTCCAATTAAAACATACACAAAACTTGTTAATATCTTGCATCAGGAAATTAATGAAAAGCAGCCAAGCACTCTTAAGATGGCTTTAAACTTGACTCAAACCTAATGTAAGTAATGCCTTATTAAAAGAGTGAACGCATGTGCAACTATTGCAGAGAATATCATAAACTTGTTTAGGAGAAAGATGGCTGTAACATATGTCCAAGCATTCAACTGTGAGATTCAAATAGAACTAGAGCTAAAACATGTTTCTTAAAGTTTACAATTTGGATAGAGCAAGGATGGGAAACTCTGAAATTTTCAGTAAAGTCCCCTTTGGGTAGATGTCACACCATTACCTGTCCCAGTAAATCAACACAAGGTAAGGAATTTTCCTGGGGGGAGGGGGGTGGCACACAACAAAACAAACAATAAGGAGGCAATAAAAACAGAACATAGGTTTCTAACCTTATTTATGATTAAAATAGTTTAGAAATTAAGGGGAAAAAAACACAAAAAACAGGGGGCGCCTTTCCTGGTGCAGACAAATTTATTTAGTTTTAGTTTAGAAATTAACTTTCAGTTTATAAACTGGTGATATTCATTCCAGTCCTGTGATTGTTGTTGGGACTGAGCTCATGGCTGGCTCATTATGCAACTAGAGGATACTGGGCAGCTAGGACTATTTGGAGAATGTCAATTGGTCACATGCACAATGATAACCAAAAAGGAATGTGAAACATTTAAAGATTGCATTCATTAAACCTTTTATGCTTGTCTAAAGTGCAGTCTAAGTCGATCAGCCTGAATCGTAGATAAAAACTCAAGGGTTCTTAGGACAATTACCAGACTAGGGAAACAATTACCTCCGTTTACCAGCTTCAACAATAAAGTTTGTTTTCGGATCTCTGGACACAATTGTGTCAAATTTGGAGCTTGGTCGGGGGTGACTACATTAGGTTTAACAGAAATAAACATACATATTGCATTGAACAAAAAAAGGCTGCTTGCAAATTATAGCATTAGACCGCACAATCATTTGTTCTATAAAGTGATTATTGCTTTTCTGCTTGTAATATGTTAACTCTCAGTGTGTGTGTATATATATATTCTGTTTTCCAGAAAGCATGTTGTACAGAACAGCATTTTATGGGGAAGAGCAGAAGTTTCAAAAGGATGTAACCTGAAGACCCTGGCTGTTTCACAAACTGCTCCACACCGTAATCTATCAATTGCTGCCAGAACAAATACCAATTAATGATGTGTCCTTGTTTCAGCTAGGCCAAATCAATATTAAGTATTGCACTTGTTTGAAAGTTTGATGGATCTTCATTCAGTGTCTTCTCTTGCAGCATATCAATTGGTGCTACAGTTTTAGAGTAGAAAAATGTCAAAATCTAAAAGATTCCTCTCCTAATCCATATTTCAGAAAAAAAAAGTTTGTTGGCAAAATTGGTTAAACGTGTCTAATAGTTACACATTCTGATCTGTAAACCATACACACATTTGTTTGCTGTTAAAGAAGCCAAGCCAATACAAAACTAGTTTTAAAAAAACACAAAACATTTGGATATTCCATTCAGTGCTTTCTGTAATGCTGAAAATTTGCCAACTCTTTAAAAATTTTCAGACATGTAAAAGGCAAACTGGTGAAGCAATCTGAACATCGAGTACTCTTTTTTTCAATTTCCTATTTATTTTAGTCATCACTGCAACATTTAATAACGGATGCCAAAACAAACAGCTACACAAAGTTTGCCAGGAAATTTCCTGAGGGGGCAAGATATTTCCATTAATATCTTCAAGCAGAGCATGTAAAAAGCAGCATGCATATCTGTACTGCATCCCTGCTAAGTCATAACTGGCTGTCACAAGTTAGTGAGCAATTTAAAATTGAACACTATTATTGCACAAAACTGCGCAAAAAAAAAAAAAGCCAGTACACCCGTTTCACCTGAATGTTAAAACTTACCCATTGTCAATGGAAAGTTTTTCCCGCAGTCTGAGAAACCAGAGAGAAAATGATACATACATTTGCTTTATTACCAAAAAATACATTCACTTTTATAAACTTAAAACCAAAGCCAAATCACACAACATATTGTTAACATGTAGACAGAAACCAATTATTTTGCTTAGTTTACACATTAACAGAGAGATGTTTAAGTAGCATTACCGTACTATGTATTTTTATGTTCAAGTGTCATATCACCATTCTGGTGATAATTCTAATATTTAAAAAAAATGGCAGTATTTACACATGCAAACACACACCAGTAACATATACACTATTAGTTGAAAACCAGATGGATAGGCAAACTCTTGGCACCAACTCCGCTGAATACCAAATTAAGACATACCACACAAATGCACAGAATGAGCTTGCTTCCATGCACATAACACAAGGTCTGACCTTTCCACCAATAGACGCTTCTTGTGTCTTATTTTGCTAGCTTCTCTAATTGACTCCCACTTTTCTAGGTCTTCCTCGCTGCAAGGGCTAGAGGTAAAATGTTTTGGTCTTGTTGCCAGGGATGACTGATGCAACTGAAATTTTCGTGTCAACATGTCATCTTTCCCGAGTTTTTCAGAAGGATTAAGTACTCTTCCCCACTTCTCTTCCTTTTCAGGTCCGGTGGGTTTCTTTACCAAACAGAGAAACTTTGACTGTGTTTCTTCAGGAAGGGACAAAGGATCTGGAAATGGGACTGCATTGTACATTTCTGGTGCACCTGAAAGATGAACTTCTTTTGGTTCAAACTGAGCTCTACGAGCAATCATATCATCCTTTACCAAATCGGGAAGCTTTTCAGTTTCTTTATTCTTCTGTAGTACTATGTCTTTTTCGATTTCCAATACTTGAACCAAAGGGGTTCCAAGATTGATTACATGATTGAGATGAAATGTTCCAGTTTTCCGTGCAAACAAATCATCATTTTCCAAATCAGGTACGGTAACTATGCCATGTTCTGACTGATTATTTGTTGATAATGGAAGAGAATGTATCAGTCTGGGACCAGATGTTGGGTCAATTTTAGCTTTATTTTCAGAAGACATCAAACCAAAGGTTATTTTCTGAAGAGCCTGAAGTATTAAAAATTGACTAATATCCAAAAAGTAAAAAAAAAAAAAAAAAAAAGCTATATGAGATACATATCAATTATTTTATTTC